GATTGTGTTTTAGACAAAATGGGCAGCAAAACACTAAAAGAAGATGAGTTATTTTGACCTTCACGAATTCAGCAAAGTTTAATTTACAGTCTGTCCAGTCCCATTTGAACTTTTCTGCTTGGGTCTAATTTCCAAGATATCTAATCCAGCTCACACACAATCAATGAAATAGCCAGTTTTTTAAATGATTTCTGTAGTTTGATTTAGGGTTAGGCAAGATTAAACGGAGATTAAAAGCACAATTTACACAATTTACAGTTAACATGTCTATTCTCTGAATATTTTATGTGCAACAGTTACATTGTGATCTGCAACGTATTTCCCGTAACCAAGACCTACACAATCAGATAATCGATTCACACGATCCCATGTCTAACGCTAGCTCCCACCTTTCCACGCCGATTTATGACAAGACGATCTTGAGCAGCAGGCGCGTAGTGGCTAGAGATTTAGCACTACCTTACAACCCTTATAGTTAACAGCCCGTAAGTAACAGAGGATAGGGGGAAAAGAGGCGACAGAGAACGCGACCGTGCATTAGTGTCACACCACCCAAGTGGCTTTGCGTGTGAATGAGTACGCGTGCGTTACAGGCGAACTTTGACAGAGGCCAATAACAAGAGGGGTGAGTCATTGGTCCACTCGGGCCCTCATCACTCAAACGAGGCGGATTATAGGTGGATTAACACAGATGGGTTGGCCAGTAGGTTGCCGTGGCATGGTTATGCAGCTGAGTGGACGAGGCCTTAATCCTAACAAGTGATGAGCCGTCTTGGCGAACACCGGATCACCAATATAATTATAATTTTCAAATCCAATAGTTTTTAAAATGAGACAACTACTCCATACGTTGACTGTGGCTTCCCTATATTTTTTTAAAATCTTTGTGTAAGCATGCTGAAGTAGTTAATGTTCATTTGGACCACCAACCTGATCATGAAACCAGAAGTGTTCCAGAAGGCACAAAGTTGGTCAGGCATGCCAGATTGATTTGCGAGAAAATGCAGAAAGTTAAGTTTTTGTTTATTCTTTGTGTAGAATCGACAGAATACGACGAGCCAAACCAAGACATTACAACTAACAGAACGCAAGGTGGTAAGCGCTGTGTATTTTGTATGTTACCAATTAGTCAGTAAAATCGATTTAAATCATTTCGTGTGGAAAATTGGACTTAGTAGTTGACAAGCACCACCAATCAACATGTAACAGCTGTTATTGGCTTCATTTTAGAAACGACATTGGTAAAAGTTCCTTCTGGTTCAGAAGCACAAAAGGAACAGTCGAATCAAGGTAAGTGATGCGATTCGATTATCTTAGATGAACCGAAACTGCACATTGTTCTGGCTCAAATCTGGTGTTTTTCGGTTCATGTAGTATTTGCAGAATGACTTCACAAAGTCACAATTGTAAATTAGTTTAGAATGTTGGCCAGTGCTGTGCTTTTGCCCTGAATATATTTGTGCGAGACATCACAGAAACCAGCCTCTACCAAGAAGCCGAATTTGAATGGCTGTTGTAATATCAGAACGCGGTTTCGGTGATGCTAGACCTGACTAATCTGAGGATCACTTAAACAGACAGGACATGCGGAGCACGTGTTTGCAAGAGGCTTTCTGATTTAGATGCAAAGCAGTCGGGTAGCTACTTGGAACTGGACAAAATCTGGACACCTGCCTACTACGGCGACGATAAGCATGGTATGGGCCACCGGTCTGGTCTGTATTCTGATGAACACGGCAACCTCAAGTTGACGGTGGGCAAGAAACACAGAACGTTTGACGTGAAGTGGAACGGGGAGAAGTACGAAGTGGAAATCGATGGCAGGAGGTTCACGGGAAGATATCTTTCAAAGCTGACAGAAGACGTCAACCGAGTGAGTGTTTGGTGCTCCTCTCATAGTGCATTCGGATAACAGCATTGTAGTTATTGCGATGTCAAACTCGTGGTAAATTTGATAAGCACTTGAATGTACTGCAGTGCGGTGACTTGTTGATTTGAGTGGGATGTTGAAAAAAATAAATTACTGTTCCACAGTTAGGGGATTCGTTTCTTAAAAACTATCTTGATGTATTGAAATTCGCTATGAATTAGACTATCGCCTGTCTGCATTGGTTCACCTGGGATCGTCCTGGGATATCGAGAAGACAGTTCAGTTTATGTGGTTTTATGCGGTTTGGATGAACTTGTAAAAGTACAGATAACTGATGGCAAGATGAGTGAGGCGGATTGCAGGGAGGTACATACGCAGGGGTGCATGAAGAGACGGTCTCGCATGACGTATCTCATCAACATGTGTGCTGCCTCGTAGGTTGTGTTTCTTTTGAAAATCACTAGCTGAGGCTACCCCTCTTTGCGACAGGTGTTCCGAGGCGACGAGAGCATTGTGACCACTCCCCGCAAATGCGCATCTCTCGTGTACCACCGCGATTTGGTTAGCTGCGCTGGTGATATGCAAATCAACAAGTCTTCGCTGGAAGTGCGTGAAAACGCCATCGGCAAGGGATCGTTCGGCGAGGTTGCATTGGCAGACTACATGGTAACGTCATTCTCATGTCCACACAGGATTGTTAATCATCAAATGGAAGGTAGAAAGACAGGATTCGAGGCAGTTGAAAGATTTTTCATCGAATTTCCGCGATTTTGGTTGATAATGGTGAATGAGTTTTCCCACACACTCAGCTAGTTTCTTTCGTGAGGTGTTAGGGTATTTATCTGTGCTGGCAAGGGTTTAATTCACTCAGTTTGTACGAAACCCAAAAAATGAGGGTATTGAGTGTGGGCCTAATCGGAGTTGATAATCTGTGTAAAAACATTAATGAGTTTTCTGAAAGAATTTGATGGCTGTGACAAGATGCGAATATATGGCCGACTGAGTGTTCGACGTCAAAATGCCAGATTCGAAAACATGTACGTGTAATCGGTGAATTTATAAGTTTTCCTACTATTCAGGACTCCCAAGGGACAAAGTCGCAGGTGGCAATCAAACGCGTAAGCCAAACATCCCCTCACACCCTGGGCAGTGCAATGGAAGTAGCCGTGCTGGCCAGCATTTCAAAAACCCACAAATTCAACCTCATTAAACTGATTGGTTGGTACCTGGACACGGACGCTCTGTGCATTGTGACAGAATACATGCCTGGTGGTTGCCTCGCCAACTACTTGGAAGGCCTGTACAACAGCAGTGACCTCGTTCAACAAAGGGAATTTCGCGGATTCGTCAAGGATAT